AACTCCTGCAATCAGTAGATTATTACTGCCGGGGATTGAGGCAGGGCCCAGAGGTAGAGGCAGTGTGTGAACAAAGCTTTCTCCGTATATTTTTAATTATTCATTGGCATTTGCTTTTTTCAAATTATTATTGCAAGGTAGCACCAGCATGAGCTGACCCATTGCCCTTAAATCCTGTGCACTGCCTAAGTTAATATAGCACAAATCTCACCATACATAAATAAAAGCCCACTGTCTTGGTTGGACAAGGTGCTAATTAAACCAAAGCTTTCCTTTTGAGCTAAAAGAAACGTTTCGTTCCCACTCTCAAGTCGTCCTGTTAACAACATAGCCACTTTCAGACTTCTGTTCTCTGCACACTGGACACTCATGGGCAAAGGGGAGGACATGAGATCACAACAGCAGCCCCCCCTTCTGTCCTAGGCAGGTCTTTGAACTTCTATATAGACCCAATAGATATGTATGTGTGCATGTCTTCCGCATGCCTTTTGCTAGTTGCATGTGGAGCCCTACATGCGTAAAATCGCATGCATGTGGGCTTCAAATGAATGTGCATTGATGAGAAAAAGTAATTGTGATCCTCCTGCTGCTGCTCTAAGATGTGTTTTCCTTAATGAGCATTTTGTCTCAAGCTTGAAAACTGTAGAGACTTGGTCAATAACAGGCTACGACTCCAAATAGACCAGAATCCAAAAAGCCTGAATATGAGAACGTTCATTCTATCTAAATGTCATCAGAAAAGGATCCAAATGGGTCTCCTGGAGCAAAGTGTTCTAATGCCTAGGTGCAGCAACAGAGAAGGCACTTTCTCAGATACCTACTAAATGAGACTTTGATGGCACTATGGCTTGCTGCACAAATAAAATTGCTGAGCTGGAGAAGAAGAGAACCTAGGCATGCAGCCGGGTTTTGTTTTGTTTTAAGATAAAGAGGTGCCAGATCTTCTTTATCCTTTTTTAGGGGTGCACAGCACTGATCGCCATGCCACCCACAGCCTCCGACATGCAGACCCAAGCAATGTATTGCTGTTCTGCAATGCTACAGAGTTGCTGGAACACACCAAAGAGGTGCAGGAACTCTATTCCGGTGAGTTCTGGCTGAAAAAAAGCCCTGCATGCAGCTTCCCTAAAAGTTCTGGAAGCAGGGAAGGAACATTATACTGGCAGCAAGCAGAGCTGGCTAGAACTATTCTGCTTGTCAGTCATAGGATGCTGCTTTAATTTATTTAATTCACTATTTGCAACCCTGCAGCTAAACTAGATGTATTAGATCAGGCTGCCAGTAACTATATAGCCCAGTGACTTTGCAACCTAATCCATCAGTTCTGACAAGTTGGAGAGAATCAAGGGCTGACCATCTGCAAAGAAGGCATTTGAGTCACAGCCCAGAAGCTGCTTACTCCCCAGTAATCCCATTGTGTTCAAGGGACTGGATTTTGTGACTGATTTATAGACTGCAGGTTCAGGTTTTATTACTCACAAGGGCTTTCCCTTAAAAATTTTTTAAATTAAACAGGCTGAAACTGGAGAGCAGTCTCAAGTCCCCAAGGCTTATTTCAGAAGTTGGGATTCTAGCTTTGGAAAAACCATGTTCATGCATCAGGAAACACAGCTAACACAGAGGAAAAACTTGTAGTTGTCTTAAATTTTTCATTAAAATTAATTAAATAACAGTTGATTAAATTACTGAAACATAACATCTTTTCTGGGCTGAAAGTTGGACTCTATTCACTTATTGTGCAATTTCCTTATTCAAGACAAAGCTGCATTTACTCTTTATGAGCACAAAAACTCTGGAGTTCAATTACAATAACAGTCAAAACTACCCCAGATTATAACCTGCTATCGGCAAAAGTCACTAGCCCAGTAGCTCACAGCATGGTGGAGCTATGCTGCTCTCCTGGCCTGCCTCCAGCTGTGTCACTTCTGCATACCAGAACAGGGAGTAGCAGAGCAGTGGTGAAGTTGGCAAGGTGCAAACATGCTGGCAGGAGTGCTGAATTAGCTCTGCTGGTGTGTTTGAACAACACCAACCTCACTGCTCCTTTGCCCACATCCTCTCCATCCCAGTATGCAGCAGTGATACAGCTGAAGTGAGTGGAACAAGTTACTGGTGCAACCCCACCCCACCATCCCCTACTGCAGGGCCTGATTTTAAAATTGTTTCCTGTTGTTCACTAACAGGTGATAGCAGCTAGAAGCTTGGAAATATGGTAGGCTGTTTCACTGGGTGTTTCTGCCAAAGCATTTCATGCAATATCCCACTACACACTCATCCTGCCCTGCTGCACTTGTTCTGGGAAAGCAAAAGACGGGGCCAGTTCTTCCATTTTTGGTGCAGGGCTGGGCAGTTGCTGCAGACTCCAACACCATATTTTTGTTATTTTACTTTGTTGTCAAAAGATTCCTTTGCCCAATTCTGGGTGATTCCCCCTGCCCCCTTGAAGTCCCAGTCTTCCATTTGTACAACCTAGGATACATCCCAATATTTAATTGTTGTTTTTATTTTTAAAACTCTGATATGAAATAAGCAGCATTGTCTTGTAATAAAAGGTAATCATTCGTCAACTCTCTGTGGCAACCTGATTTAATTGGCTGAACTACCTCCAAGGTCCCTTTCCCCTATCATCTAACTACTCAGAATTAGCGTATACATACAGTACGATTGTACTGGAGACAAGGTAGGTTAAAGAAGCAGTCAGACCTATTGAGTTAATAATTAATTACAAGGCATTTTCAATCGCAAGCCATTAACCACTTACCCTTTAAAATGGTAATAAATAGTAGGAACGTGCCTAATTAAGGGCCCTGTACAATATTTTGGAGTGCTGAGGACACAGAGAGAAAGGAAGGGAGAAAAAGAGGGCATGTTTACAGAAAAACAATAGATTTTGTAAGAATGAGATTTTTTTCCCAAGGACACACTGTTATTATACAAATCTGTTTCAAAGCACTAGAATTGTTGTTTTTCAGAAAACATAAATAGAAAAAGTGTATCAAAAGTCATCTAATGTATATTGTATCAGGGCATCCTAGACAATCCTTGATATATTTTTAGTCTATGTAAAAGGAGATCTCACAACTGTTTTCAGTATTTTGCTTCATAATAACTTGTCCATAAAGTATCTCTCACATCAAGAGAGAAGCAATATCAAAGCTGTGACAATGGCAGTAACAGGGATCACCTAAAATAGATGAAGTCCAAAACATGGGAAGGCAGAGTGAAAAATATAAACAGAAGCCTGGAAAATGTGTGGCATATTTTATGAATGCTTGATTCCCATCTACCCCTAATATTCCTCAGTATGGGAGGGGATAGAAATCTCTAAGTACATTATTTTTCAAACCATGTTGGAGTGAGCTGTCCTAAGTTCCAGTCCAGACATTTTGCTGCCAGAATCTTCCAACTTGCACCCCTCACTTCAGCACACGCACCCTTGCTAGGGCCAACACTTTAAAACTTCTTGCTATGCCATATGTATACCAGTTCCAGCCTTCACCTGCATGTTCCACCTTGTTGCAAAGCAGACTATCTGAGCCACTTTCCCTACAGCTGAATCTGTGAGCAGGCCAAGATCGCAGATCTGAACCAGAATATGTATTACAAGGAAAACCAAATTAAGTAGTTCCAATTTCAGTTTCACAGAGTGATATTCCCTGTGCCAAACTTATATGAATGGATCCAAGAAAACAACTGAAGACTCCTTTCCGTATTTGAAAATGCATAGTTGTCAAATGAGGCAAAGGCTAGGCTCTTGTTTTTTGTTTTTAAAAAGGGAATAAGCCAACCTACTAGGCAGTGTTGGGAGTGCACTGGAGGCAGCTTTGCCCTTATGACTGGTTTGGAAGTTGCAGTTGGTGCAGAACACACCACTGCTAAAGGAACTGCACTAGCTGTCAATATGCTCCTGGACATGGTTTAAGATTTTTCCTGTTACTAAACAGGAAGTTGTCCTAAACAACTGATGACTAAGGGATCTTCCACACTTCCTCTTGTCCCAGGGAAAGCTGCTCTTTAATGCTCTGGAGCAAATGGCAATTCAGGTTTTCTCCAGATGGAAGTTGGCTCCAATTTAGCACTAAAGAGCAGGTTTTCCCTGGGAAAGGAGCAGGGCAGGGGGGAAACCACCCCGACTTGTGCTTTCTAGGCATGGGGCAAGCAGAAGTGTGGACGAGCCCTGTGCAGAGTCTATGGTCCTCATGACCAGAGGGGCCTTTTTAGTGTTGCCACATGCTCCTGAGGTCCACTCCGTGGTCACCCAGAACACGACCTCTGATGCTGCAACACGAACCCTCTGGACCTCTTTCCCTTTTGGTATCAGAGAAGCGTCAAAAATGCAAGGCCTTCAATACTTGCTCAATACATTTTTTTTTCAGACAAGTGTCAGGGCAGGTGCCAGGAGCAGGTCAGCAATAACTCGCATGGTGCCAGTGAAGCTACCTCTATTCAAAGAAACAAAACAGCTCAGGATGCCAGGCCTAGTGAGCACAGCAACTCTTCCTGGTAGATCTTGCTTCCTCTGATGCCTTGACTACCTCTGGTCCACCCTCTTCATACCTCTGTGGATTCTGGGAGACCAGGGGGAGGGGAGTTGGTCACAGCAGGAGACCCTGTGGCTTGGCTTCTTCAACAGCCTGCCTCATCTCTGCCTCTGGGTCCCATTTCAGCTTCTGCCTCTGAACTGGACTGCTTTCTGCCACAGCCTCCTCCTGCTCACTAAGCCCTGTTACCTCTTCAGCTTCTGACACCTTCTCCTCCCAGTCTGCTCTCTCTTCTGCCTCTGACCACTCGTCATTGTTGTACCACCAATCCTCTGGCCCTGAGCCTTCTTCCCTTGGGGGTTCCCCATCTGGTGCCTCCCACCAATCTTCTGCATCCAGTCAGTCCAAGACATCAAGTCTTCAGATCTGATTCCAGCCATAGATAGTGTTAGTTTCTGTTAAGTGATTTTTATCATTCATTTTATTTTATGGTTTTGGGTTGTTGTTTTTTTGTATTTTGCATACCACTTTGGTATTGTGAAATTATTTGTTTGCCCAACAAACTCAATGTGAGGCTCTCCCTCTCTTCATAAAAGCCCAACAGCAACCCTGTGAGGTAGGTCAGGCTGACAGACAGTGACTGGCTCAAGGTCACCTAGTGAACTTCATGACTGAATGGGGATTTGAACCCTGGTCTCCGAGGTCACAGCTCAACAGGCTAACCATTGCATAATAAGCAGTTTATAAATAATAATGCTACTAATAATGGGAAGGCTGTATTTTAAACTCTTAAAAGGACAGAAATCATCTCAGGGCCTGCACTTGATAATCCCCAAGAGGCATCAAAACTCAAGGAACAGTAGAAAGGGAAATTTGGAGAGAGGAAGAGGGGAATTCTACATACAGTGGTACCTCTAATTGTGGACATGATCCATTCTGGGGTGCCGTTTGCACCCTGAAAAGTCTGCAACTAGAGTGAAACTTCTGCGCAAGCGTTCTGCACGATAGAGCACTTCTGCGCATCTGCGAAGCACGCAGAATACTTCTGTGCGCGTGCGCGCGGCGAAACGCAGAAGTATACACTTCCGGGTTTGCCGCATTCGGCAAAGATGCAACATGAACCTAACGCAACATGAGGTACGACTGTATTGGCTTGAATTAATCTGCTAAATCTTTGCCTACAGGTCTTTAGTTTGTTAAAATGTTGCATCAGGTATCTTGTTTGTAATAAAATCACTTTTGCTTTGCATTTTGGTTATGTGATGATATATTTTATGCTCCTTAGCAGGATGCCAATACCATCGTTAGTAATGCAACATGTGACCATGCTTGGGCAATGGCACTTGTGGCTGGAATGTGCTGTTGCCTAATAACCATACCTCAGTTCCTTCTTACATCCATAAATGACAAAGGTGAATGTGGACAACCCGACAAGGTGGCTCTGTGAAGCTTAATTGACTAAATGTTTGTAAAGCACTCTGCTGAAAAGCTGATTCAATAATTCTTTCCACTAATGTACTCTAATAAACATAGGCACCACCAGTATTTTAATCAAGCTAGCCATCTACAATATGTTAATATTTTAATTTCCCTTTCAATTGATTTTAAGTTCCACTAAATTAAACCAGAAACCTTCAATATATAGCACAGTGGAACACAATAACTGCAATTCCTGTAAAGGGCTTAGATGCTGGCAAAAAGCTCTCACTAGAATTAGAATAATAAAAGCAAATATGAAACCTAAGAACAAGAGGAGAGTACAGGCCAGAAAATGCAGGCACAGGTGGACATGGTGCACTGGGAGAACAGAGAGTCCAAGCCCATGCTAAATTAAGTGCTTTGAACTGCAGTAGCTGGCAGCCACAATTCAGACAATCAATATGCAAACTCCTCAATAAATCCTATGGCCCTCTACAAATCTCACACGAGCAAATCTAATTCAAATATCTATCTGAATCCCTAGGCTCTTTAGCTGGCAAGCTCATTGCAAGACTTGTAGTCTTATACTCTGAAATATGATAACATTTACTGATGCATGAAAGGAGACTCAGCGGGAGCATCGACAACCCAGAATTTGAGAAGAACTAAAGCAGGGCAAGTCATGGACGGACCCAGCAAAACGGCACCTGCAGATGCAGAAGAAACATCATCTTCTCAGAGTCATGAATGCACATGGTAATCTCAGCACAGAGCTCAACTGAGCAGAGATTAGACCTGTCACAGAGCTCACATTTGCTTCAATGTGTTGTACGTATCACTCCTCTTCCAATAAATCAACCATACTGGAGAAGCTAGCACCTGGTTCTGGGAAAGAACATTTTTCTTTTTTAGGAATGAGTCCTTCATCAAGATCTTAACCTATGTTGCTGAACCACAGCAGGTGCTTGCATTTTTTGATATATATATATATTCTTTAAGGTAAATTCTTCCTTTTTTGAAGTATAGTTATTTTCTCTAAGGTGAATTTTATGACTCTACTAAGATTGATGTTGAGAGAGAGAGTAGTAATGTGCAGGTATATATAAAGGACTGTAAAAACAGTTCCCTTGCATGCACATCTTTGTGCCATTTGTAAATGCTTTCTGGATAGCTCTGCCAAGAACAGTACAGAGTACCTTCAACTCAAGACAGTGTACCATGGCTGTGGCTAACACCTTCTATCTTTACCGTCCTGCACTGTCCTCCAGTTCTGGCATATGTCAAGAGGACTCCAATTAGCTGCTACACAAGGGCAAGTTCCCACATTGCTTTCCATGCTCCAAATCCAGTGCTACTACAACTGGAAATGTGAGCCCTTAGATGTTGAATGTGATATTTGAAAAGGCAGGTACTTTTTCTCCTTGCACTCAAAACAAGGAACTGGCTGAGAAACATTTATGCTTATAGTGATCCTGTTTGCTTATACATTTATTAGGAAAATACCCACGCACCAGTAAAACAAGGAGATTGAAAAGTCAAAGAGAGAGAGATTCTGCTGATCTGGGGTGTGGGATTCGCAGGACTAAAGTGGCTTTGTTTGGAATTCCATAGATGTTTGCATGGAAGTAAGCACTACTGAACCCAGTAAGACTTTCTCACAAGTAGAAATGTGTAGGATCAATGCACACACATGTGTTTGTATTCATGTGATTAAAGAAAATGAAATGGCAGATTATCTTGTAGCCATTAATGTAGATCTTATACCAACACTGCAATTGCATTACGCAATTCAGAGCTGCACTTCGCTCCTTCTTGGAGAATGAAGAAGAGGATGGGGGAAAATGAGTAAGAACTTGACTGGGAGGAACTGCAGAAATTAAGCAGACAGTATTAAATTTTCTTTCTGTTTAAGAGTGAGCTTTAAAGGACATTTTCCACAGCTCTTTATAAAACTGGAAACGTTTTTCATGTTGCAATATTGTTGATGTAGAAGGGAGTAGGGAATGCAAGAGCTGTTTCAAGAACATACTGAATCAGAGGAGATGAGGAAAGAGGAGAAGCATAAGTATGAGGCAAAGAGGAAACAATTTTCAAAAAACAATAATGAACATTTTTTGAGTTGCACAGATGGTTTCTCTTTATTTCTGTTTTTGTCTGTAAAGCACATGCAAATCCCACTGCATATTCCCCTGGAGGCACTCTCCTGTCAGAATCAGGCCTGGAACTCATATATTTAGGATGAAGCAGGGGATTCCTCAGTGAGTTCATAACAGAGAGACTATTATGCTGGAAACAGGAAAATCTATACAGGTAATACATTGCATATGTGCATATTCGTGGGCACACACAAACACAGGGCCTCATTTTCCACAAGCAGCCTTCCTCTTGCTCAGTACTGGCATGAGAGCAGAATGCAATATCTCAGCCTAATTTCTCTGAGCAATCTCTGTTTACCTATTTCCCACCTTGACTTTCATCTAGAAACAACATTTTACACTTTGGTATGTTCACAAGTCAGCAGCAGTTGGATACATAGGCAGAACTTTGTGAGTTCAACTTTTCCCCAGCATGCCCACATGTGGGAAGCCAGCATTGTTCCCCCACAGTCACCCCATCACCTCCATTGGAAGAAATGCTAAATATGAGATGAAACTTCCATTGAGTGTGCTCTTAGATTACCATAGCCATCATGTTATGTATGAGGGTCACTGCCAGGAAACACTGCTATTGCCTGGGCAAAGCCCCAGCCTGACTTATAAATCTTTGAAGTCTTTCCAGTTTCCAGGATCATCGCTTGGAGACATCTGAGAATTCTCTATTCTAGCCCAAGCTCCTCCTGGCTTAAAAATTTGGTTTGTTTGTTTTTCACAGCAGACCAATCCAATTAAAAATACCTGAACTTGCTCATGGATTGGAACACCACTGTCATTTGGATTATGGACTTCTCCAGCTTTTGTAATGCAGTTTTGGATATAAGAACAGCCTCTCTTTGTTTGTTTGTGTGTGTGTGTGTGTGTGTGTGTTGCTAGCATGCAGTGCCTGGGAATCTTAGATACACACACACACACACACGATTTTTAAATGGATAGTGTACTATTGTGTTTTGACCCATGACGCGAAAAATCAAGTGATCACGCCAAAGTTATGTTTCAGTCCATTATCTTGTTTCAACATGGTGCCTGGCATACAAGCATTGATGAAGACTGCCTACCCCACCTTGAGAATCCCTGTGCTGAGTTTGGAGACAATACCAAGACAGAACCTATGCAAATAATGGGTAAAATCATGCCACAGTCATGTTTTGATTTGTCGTATTGATTTTAAATGGCAGCCAGCATCCAAATTGCATTGATGTCTACCACCCCCACCTTGGGAATCCCTGCACCAAGTTGGACAATGATACTTTGAGAGGCAACTGACCCAACGCCAAAGAAGTGCAAAGTCATACCAATGTAACTTTTTGGTCTGCCATCTTGATTCAGAATGGTGCCTGATGTCCAAATGATGATAAATCTGCCACCTCTACATCAGGAACCCCAATGTTTGGTGATTGTTTGATGATTATCTCAAAAGGCATCCTAATGCACAGAGAATAAACAAACTGGCAAACAGACAAAACAGTGTTCGAAACTCCCATTGTTCTAGGTGTGTTTTGAGACAGGGAATTTCATTAATGTGAGCACTTTTTGAGCTCTGGGAGCAGTACTACACCTAAGATTTTAGATTAAAACTGCCACTGCTGGAAGGAAAGGACGACCTTTTTCTGCTTCCCCACTTCCAGTCACTCTCTGAGGACTGGAGAACGGACCCACATAAGAATATTAGGGGGGCAGGCAGGGGAAGTATGGCTTTGTTTTTTTGTTTTGTTTTTTGCAGTCTTCAGATGAGGACTAGACCATGTGAAAAAGGAACATAATATTTTAGCTGCAGTTCACTTATTTTAAGCTTTGTATTCTTGTTATAAAAAGTGCACCTAGACATTCTATTGTGGTGCCCTTGACCTGGGTTTAAGGTGCCATATAGCTCCCAGCTTTCATATCTCAGCTTCTAACACTGAGACAAAGCACTTTCCAAAATATTTAGTAGGTATGTAAGCAGCTACCGTAAATTTGAGCACTCTAGCTTTCCATGATGGCCCAGCTGTGCACTCCAGGATCGGAGGCACCTCTGAATACCAGTCACAGGGGAACAAAAACAGGAAAACCCTTAAGTCTTAACTGTGAGCTGCCCAAATGAAGGTGAACTTCCTTGGAAGGTGGTGGACTCTCCTTTCTTGAAGGTTTTTAAGCAGAGGTTGGATGGCCATCTGTCATGGATGCTTTAGTTAAAATTCCTGCATTGCAGGGGGTTGGAGAAGATGACCCTTGCGGTCCCTTCCAACTCTACAATGATGATGTTATGAATCTGGTTGGTCATTGTGGAAAACAGTGGGTTGGCCTGTGGTCTGATGCAGCGCAGCTCCCCTTACGCTCCCAAGGAGGATGCTACCAGAGCAATATAAAATGCAGAGCAGAATATACAAGGTCTGAAGATTTATAACTGGGCAGCTGTTTCTCTTCTTCCCCTCAGTGAATCTGAGTAGCATGGAAATGCTTTGAAACTTGGCTGGGTTGCCCACTATGCAGGAGGTCACCCCGTTTCAGGAAGGAATGTGATAAATCAGTACGAGGCAACATGTGACAAGAAATTGACTTTGGTTCAGGCTATGGTCTCACTGCACTTCAGAGTGGGTAATATTCAACTTGATTATCTCTTCCTTGCCAAGATGAAGTTTCTGTCTGTGCTTAAAAAAAATTCTCTTGGATGAGCCAGGGAGGAATTGATCTGCCAGAGTGAAACGCTGACAAGAAAACAGAACTCAGAAACAGGATGAGAACAGACAACAAGACAAGTGAGAGAGATGGGGCCTGGCAGTCTTTTTACTCAGGTTTGCAGCCAGACTCTTGAAGTCTCTTTTGGACACAGATGGGATAAGGGCAAATATGGTCCCAATCCCATCTTCAGCTCAACTTCACTTTGCACCTGCCTAGATGTAAAGCAGGGGAGAGGAACTGGATCCAATTGGCTGGCAGTAAACTTATCTCTCCCCTCCCAACCTGTTGCTGATGAGCAGGCAAGACCACACATCTGCCAGTCACCTGATGTCATAATGTGATTGATGGGTTTGATGTTGTTGCTGATGGGTGGTTATAGCAATCTCCTTTTGAAGAGGAACTTTCAGTGCTAATTAGCTGATTGGTGCTGGGAGTGGGACTTTGAAGAGGTTTACTGTAACCTCTTTGCCATGTCCTTGCTCCGCTTTTGCTGTTGTTTCCCCTGAAAGGAGAGGAGAGAAGCCAAACCATCCCATGAGGACCCACCCCACACTGATATGCAGCAGTTGACCTTGATGCCGGACAGTTGGGTGTAGTGGGTAGATTTTTGTTTTAATGGTGAGTTAACATGAATAGCCTTTGGGCTAGGGAATGGCTCTTGATGTTGAGTTTTTTATTTTTATCTGATGGTTAGTACGTGGTAGTATTTAAATTGTTAGCATGGTGGTCAATGTCTTCTATAACTGCTACGGGGATCCCTCTCCCCATTATGTTGAATAGAATAGTAAAGTGTTTTATGATTTCCCCCACCCCTTTTCTATGGTATAATTTAGTTATGTATATTTTTTTCTATGTAGCTCAGTTAGAATCTCTTCGGGTGAGATACAACTAATAAGTTTAATTAATTAATTAATTAATTAATTAATAATAGCCAATCATCTGAGATTGGCAGTTAGAGGGAAGCCATTTTTAGTTTCTGCAGAGGGGGACAGACTTCTAAAAATGGAGCATTTCTCCCTCTGCGGAGAAAGCAGTTTGGATTTAAAGCACCACCTCCAGCACTTGAATGCAAGCTGCTTACTCTGGAGATTTTTTGTTTTATTATTAAAAGAAAATTGTGCTGTTTAAAAATGGGTCCATTTCTCTCTCTCCAGAGGAAGCAGTTTATAGAGAACTAGTGAGGTAGCTGTTACCAAGTGCCAGTCTATGACCAGGGAGACCCAAGTTCAAATCCCTGCTAAGCTATGAAATTCACTGGGTGATGTTTGGTCAGTGAATATTAGCCTATCCTATCTGATAGAATTGTTGTTAGGATAAAGAAGGGAACATGCATGTCACACCCTTCACCTTCTTGGGAGAAGGGTGGCACATAAACACAATAGGTAAATAAAAAGTCCCCCCCCCAATATGAGTTGATTACTCCAGTCAGCCAAAAGGGGCATCTCAAGGCCAACACGACTGAAGTTCAAGGTAAGAAAAGTAAAGTGACTCATTGCAATGTAAAAGCTTCCTTCTGATTGCAGGACATGTTGATGCCCTAAGCCACTCTCATTAGATATGCTTGTTTGTCGTTGTCAGATCTAATTGTGAGGGCTTTGAATCCATTTAGGTGTTTTGTTGTTCCTGAAAGCCTCTTGTTTTTCTGCCTAAACTGCAACTTTCTAGATCTCTAAGGATCAGCTCCCATCCCTCCCAGCATATCTGTGGTCTATAACGGCACATCGCAGTTCTGCCCGTTGCTCAGTTCCCCCAGGACTTGCATTACGCCTACCCCACTTCTATTCCTGATTCTAAATCTAACTCATCCTAGAGGACATCCTTGCAGTAGAGAGAAGAGAGATATTATTTTGCTTACATCTTCAGGCAAAAGTCAGATTAGGAAGAGATAAAATTAAAATGCACAAAAAGAAAAAGGCATAGTAAAACGTAAGTTCTATTAATGTTGTTGGGTGTCAGGTTTATATTAGTTTTTCACGTATTGCAAGGCCTTTTGGTAGAAGGAAATTAGGGATGAGCAGGATCCATTTGTTACATTACGAAAAGATTTGACAGAGGCAGAAACGGGTTGCATCCAGAACGGATTCCACAATTCATTCTTTCCCATGAAGAGAAACCTTCTATAGCCTTAAGAAAGCATCAATCACTTGCTGCATTAAAAACCTTCCTTTATTTTCACAAGTGACCCAGACAGAAGCGGCTAACCCAGTAGGGCAGAACCACAACAATAGCTTCCTGGCAGTGCAGTCACTGAGGGTTGCTGGGAGAGGTAGCCTGGTTACCAGCTTGGTTCTGTCAGTTTACCCCCCCCCCCCACTGCAACAATCTCCACACCACTTCCCCGTTCCTTCCTGGTTCACATCCACAACTCTGCTGCTTGGATATCAGCACTGCAGTTTCAAAGCTGGTTCTGAATCCAGGGTGGTGTAATTCTTCCTAGATGGTTCTGGATTTTTTTCAGGGCCAGAAATTGTCTTTCCAAAAAAAAGTCTCCCTTGAGAAATGACATTGACTGTTTTCTGAGTTAGTGATTTTTGTAAAATAAAAATACCTAAACTTTTCTTTCTACAGCACTTCAATTCTCTTTTGAAAGCATGGGGCAAACATTTATGGTGAGGATATTGCTAAGCCTACATACAGTATGTCAGGGTGGTTGTCTGGAGCAGGTAAGCAGTAACTCACAAGATGTCAGTGAAGTTATGGCCTCGTGAGCACAGCAACTCTTCCAAGTACATCTTCCCCCAGTGGCCACTGAAAGAACTGAAGGTCCTCACCTTCCCACAGTTCTCTAAGTTTCTTCTTCCCCTGGGTCCTTCCCAAGCAATCTGAGATTCTGATGCTTTGTCTATCTCTGCTCTGTCCTCTTCACACCTCTGCTGTTTCTGGGAGACGCCTTGCAGGGGGTCCATTGCAGCAGGAGACCCCTTGGCTTCTTCTGCGGCTTGCCTCATCTTGCTCACAAAGCCCTGTTA